TCGCGTAAAAAACGTTCAGCGGTAAGTTCAGGGCGGTTAAGGTAGCCACGAGCTACAGCATCTCCACCAATATACAATTCTCCTTCGGCTCCCAATGGCACTGGTTCACCCTGTGCATCAAGCAAGTATACATGAGTGTTAGCAATCGGGCGCCCTATTGTTTCAACTATTTCATCACCTCGTTGATATCTATGCATCGTTGAAAAAAAGGTGGTTTCTGTCTGTCCATAGAGATTACACAGCCCGTTTACTTTACTTCGGTTCAACATTCGTTTAATTAAGTTGGCTCTTAGCGGCTCGCCTGCCAAATGAAGGGTTCGAAGAGACGTTGGTAAATAACCCACATTGAGCATCGCTGTCACAACAGAAGGTATTGTACTGAGCATGGAGATGTCTGATGACGTAGAAAGCGCAAGTGCATCCGTCATAACATGCAACGTTTTTCCCATTGATAGTGGTGCAAAACACTCGTATAGGGACATGTCAAAATTAACGGAGGTCGAAAACGAAGTTTGCTTGAAATCTTCAGCTGTAAACGCATCCTTGATGAAATAGAGACAATTCGTTACATTTCTGTGTTCAACCATCACACCTTTCGGAGTTCCGGTTGAGCCAGAAGTATAAATAATGTAGGCCAAATGAGTTGGAGTGAGTCCAAGTTTGGTCTTGTCCGGATTATCAATAGATAAGTTATCGGGCCAAGTCTGCTCCAGGTCCACCATTGGTACTTTATGAGCTCCAAGTATTGCCCGACCAATAGCATCTGCCAAAAGACACCTGGGATTTGAGTCTTGTAAAATGTTAATCAATCGGTGATTGGGATATTTTGGATCGAGTGGTAAATAGGCACCGCCAGCTTTGAGAATGCCCAGTATAGCTACGATTGATGTCATACTGCGCTCGACGCAAAGTGCGATACGATCATCTGGTTTGACGCCTCCTGCGATCAAGTAATGAGCTATCCGATTGGCCCGGGAGTTTAGCTCTGCGTAGCTTAAAGTCTCCCCCTTACATTTCACGGCAATCGATTGTCCGTCACGTTCCACCTGTACCTCGAATAAATGATGTAGACAGCGGGCAGATGGATAAGTAATTGTGGTTTGATTCCAACTGTATAGCAGCATCGTACGCTCTTCCAGTGGCATCACCGGTAATTTTTTAACTAGTGCTCGTGGCGTATGAGTTAATGCGTCAGCAAGTGATTCCAGAGCTTGTTTCATATAGCTGCAGATCCGTGCTGCTGACATTTGTGAAATTACTAATGTCGTCAGACCCAACGAATCACCATCATCGTCAACCGAAAGGGTTAGTGGGTAATTTGTCCGCTCCTCGAAATCTATGACATTCATTCCTGGTAGTGCAGCATTGCTATGCTTGGCCTTCAGATTACGGCGAAAGTTTAATAGTGAGCTGAATAGTGGCAAACCGTTCAGAACTCCACTACAGCGCTGTGCCAACACAAGTTGTGCGTGCTCGTGTGCCAACAACGCACTCAACCGAGCATGGGTGTGACAAACTGCTGTCCTGACATACGTCTCATCAATATCTATCCGAATCGGTAGCGTATTGATCATTGGTCCCATGATATTGATGTTCCCCTCTCCGGTTTGCAAACGGCCAAGTAGTACGGTACCAAAGACTACCGCCTCACGACCGCTAGCTCGAGCAAGCACTTGTGCCCAGGTCAAATGGCAGATACTAGCCATACTGACCTGTAATTTCCGTGCGTGCACTCTTAACCGATCATTGAGTGTCTGTGGCAGGTTCAGATTTGCCTCATTGATCTCATTTCCGCTAAAGCCAACGTCCCTCAGACCAAATGGTAAGGTTGGCTCGACAATATCACCGAGCATTTTGGTGAAGAACCGCATATGTTCATTTGCACTAGCTCCTAGACGAGCCTGAGCCACAAGATGACGAAATGGCGTGGGAAATGTGAGTTTTTCCATTTTGTCATCGATAATAGCACCTATTTCTGCTTGTAGATGCCCCAGTGTCGTAAAATCATCAATTAGGTGGTGTATTAGTTGCAGTGCCTCCCAACTACCTCTAGACGTCGGTGTTGCTATCAGTCGCAACAATGGTGCATCTTTCAAGTCTAACCGGTAGTGACGCGGGTTGAACTGGTCACTTAATTGCTCTATTATTGGTTCAGTGGTATTTTCCAAGTTAATTTCGTTCAATACCGATGGAACCTGGCGTAGAACGACTTGTGCTGGCTCACTAAGACCTTCCCAGATAAAGATAGTGCGCAAGATATCGTGTCGCAAAACGACCTGTTGCAAGGCGTTTGCATAACATTCAAGTGCCATTCGGTCATCAAATCGCATGCGTCTTACCATCAAATATGGGTCGCCCTTCTCGGCTTTCATATGATGGAACAAAATTCCATTCTGTAAAGGAGCCAATCCGTAAATATCTTGGATATTAGCTACTCCACCAGGAACTTGGGCGATAAGTGCATCAATTTCTGTCTGAGTCAGAGTTATGAGTGGTAACATTCCTGGAGTAATAGCCGTGCAGCCTTTGGTAATAAGATTGGACGGAATATGTACTGCTTGGTAACAAATGAGAGTCGCAGCTAATGTTGTAAGACTAGCAGCATCAAACACTTCTCGGACAGTAGTGTCCAGACCGGTCTGTCTCAATTGTGCCAACATCTGTACTACCAACAAAGAATGACCGCCAAGCGCAAAGAAATTGTCATGTCGGCTAATTCGATCGATGCCAAGCAGTTGACGCCAGATATCGGCCAGTATTTCTTCCATTTCACCTAGAGGAGCTTCATAATATTGACGAGCAAACGCCTCATCATCCGGTGCAGGTAGTGATCGTCGGTCTAACTTACCATTTGGTGTGAGGGGCAAAGACGGTAGACATACGAAAGCCGCTGGTATCATATAGTCTGGCAGTAAGGTTGATAGATAGGTACGTAGATCCTGTGCTACTAATGTATCCGCATCAGCCACCACATAAGCTACCAGACGAGCATCTGATCGATTGTTGTGGGGTTGCACAACCGCCTCGCGAACCTGAGGATGTGTGACTAAGTGAGCTTCAATTTCACCAGGCTCTATTCGGAAACCACGAATTTTCACTTGCTGATCGGTGCGTCCTAAAAAGGCTAGATTACCATCAGGCAAATATCGTGCACGATCGCCTGTTCGGTACATGCGTGCTGCTCTATTGTCACTGAATGGATTTGATAAAAAGCGTTCTGCGGTTAGTTCAGGACGGTTCAGATAGCCACGCGCCATACCAGCGCCTCCAATATACAATTCTCCTTCGGCACCTAGTGGCACTGGCTCACCATATGGGTCTAGCAAATACATACAAAGATCTACTAGAGGTCGTCCAATTGAGTGAACATTTTCTGTTGTTTCTAGTCGTTGGTAGGTTGCATGAATTGTTGTTTCTGTTGTGCCATACATATTGACCAATACGGTGCGACTTTTGCCATATTTTTCGTTCCAATCTCTTACAATCATTGGATCTAATTCTTCGCCGGCGAATATAACATATCGTAGCTGATCGGATCGCGAATTGATATCTTTCGCTCGCACAAGCATTTTAAAAGCTGAGGGGGTTTGATTCAGTACAGTAATACCTCTGGTAGAGATACAATCATAAAACTCGTCCGTCGAACGAGTGATATTGTATGGCACAATTGACAGCTGACTTCCGTTCAACAAAGCACCCCATATTTCCCATACGGACACATCAAAAGAGAATGAATGGAACAAACACCACTTATCATCTTTGTTAAAATCGAATTTATCCTGTGTAACCTCGAAGAGTCGAACGACTTGTTGATGTTCAACCATCACTCCTTTCGGTGCTCCTGTTGAGCCAGAAGTGTAAATGACATAAGCCAGATGGTTTGGGGAGAGTCCAAGCTTTGTCGTGTCGGGATTATCGACTGGCAAATCGGCAGGTAACGGTTTGTCCAAGTCAACCACTGGTATTTGATGGTCTCCGAGTGCTTTCTGGCCAGTAGCATCTGCCAACAGAAATAGAGGATTAGCATCATGAAGAATATACGTTAGCCGTTGACTTGGGTAGGCCGGATCTAATGGCACATAGGCGCCTCCTGCTTTCATAATACTCAACATTGCTACGAGCATATTTGTATTGCGGTCAACGCAAAGTGCGATGAGATCTTCAGCTTTGACTCCTCGGGCAATCAGGTAATGTGCTAGTCTGTTGGCTTGGGCGTTGAGTTCTCTATAGGTCAAAGTTACTCCATTACATTCCAGAGCAATTTCCTGTCCGTCGCGTTCTACCTGCTTCTCAAATAATTGGTGAAGACAGCAGGCAGGTGGATACTTAATCGTCATCTGGTTCCAGGTATAGAGTAATAGATCGCGTTCAGCATTGGGCAACAAATTCAATTTCGCCACTGATTCTTTTGATTCATCACCGCTATGAGCAGATGCCAGCAAAACCAACAAATGCGACGAAATTCTATTGATTTCTGCCTCCGATATTTGGTTTGCGTCGTAGATCCATCGAAAATCACCGTTGTGTTTGCCGATCTGCAGAGTCATCAGGTTACCGTGGGCATACGAAGCATGTTTGTTACCAGTAGTTATGGAATATTCATGTTCAACTTGCGTATCGATTAGGGACACGGCCAATGCCCATGGCTTCTCGCCGCAGAAATCATTCGTAGAAGTTTTAGCGTGGCGAATGAGTGTGTCTGATAAGCACGGCAATTGATTGACTAGTTGCTTGTAATCTTCTTTAACACTGCTCATAACATTGAAGAACGTGTCATTCAAATCGATTGCAGTCCCAAATGGAACAGTTTCGGCAAATGTGCATTTTGTTAATGAGTTGTTTCCTTGGTACCAACTTTCAGTTGCGTCCCAGCCAATTTGTAATTGTG